TAGGCGAAGTAGGGTCACTTTCTGGAAGAAATTATTACTGCTGTAAAAGCACATAGTGCTATGGATATAATCAATAAGTGGTATAGGAAAAGCATGTCCTATTATAAAAATAATACGAGATCGTAAAGTTAATAATACGGATATTGTGACCGAAGTAAATGTATCGATACATATACCGACACATTAAGCGTTTATTGCGTTTTTGTAACTTTACTACGCAAACGTTTTCCGATTTTAAACAATTTTACTCATCATAAGGTATGCACAGAAAGGATTTGAAATTATCATTAAGATTTGAAGAAGAAATGGTTGGATAATATTCAATCTAAACAAATTGGTAAGTCGATGATGCATTTCATTAATGATATCAACCAATGAACTTATTATGACTTATTTCTCGTCTTTATGTACATACACAAATTGACATTATTTTTTATATTTTTAATTTTATTCATGTCCTATAAAAATATAACTATAATAGTTTAAAAATAGTTTTTGTAATACTCTGTATTATTATATATAATTAAAGTATACATCGGTGTTTTCTATTATAATATCAATCAATTTGAAGTTATATTTTGCAAATATTTTATTCTAATAACATTAAAAATTCTAAAAAAGTTAATTATATTTGTCAAATTAGTATAATAATTAGAACAAGTAAAACATACAATTTTCGTAAAGTTACACGTTACAGAACTTTACTTACTAATCTAAAAATAATTATTACATAATTTATGAACAACTAAAATCAATTTTATTTTTGCTATACAAACAATATCTTGCACAATTTTTATTTTTTTTTCTAATTAATTTTCTACATGTATATTTATATTTATTTATATTTATTTATTTATATGTATTAAGTTTTAATACGTTTTTGATTTATAATTTATATAAACAAAAATTGAAACCAAAATGTTTGAAAATAAATACATTACAATGATAAAATTATTTCAAATATAAATATTTATAAAATTTATTTACTATTTGACAGGATATTATCGCGTTAACTATGATGTATGGAATTGGCGAAAAATTTATATTATCTAAACTCCGATAATTACACAAAAATTCATGTTCTTAATCGTGCTCAAATGATCGATGATGCAATTCATTTAATGATAGGAGGCCAACTCGATTCATATGTATTTCTGGGATATCATAAAGTATATGCATCGAGAAGAAGATTATATAGCTTGGTATCCTATGTTTAAAGCTCTGGAATATTTGTCCAATGCTTTTATAGTGTTGAAGAAAACATTGAGAAGTTTACGGTAAACATTAATAAATTTCAATGAAAGTGTTATATTTCAGTATTTGCATATGTACATGCATTTACTACAAAAAGTTCAAATACTCAGTAAAATATATACTGCAACGATAAACTTTTACACACTATTAATTATGTCGCAAATAAATGTGCAAATAAATCCAGTTTGAATAATCACTCACGTGAGAACAGGCCCTAAAGTGTATGATTATCACTACTGCTAATGTTATTAATATATAACATTGTTTTTGGATATATAGCCAGATGTTTAAAAATATTTGTCAATGATTTATAATTAAACCTTCGCACAAATTTAATCAAATTTTTGATGAGGGCTCAAATTGTGTCGCGCGGTCCGAGTGATTATTGAAATTGTCCCGCGGATGCAACATTTTAGGGGATGTAATTCATAGTTCAGGAACATTCGCCCAAAAGTCACACTTGGGCGGGTGCAAAAATATTAATTAAAATAGAAATAAATATTTAACGATTTTTAGGAAACAATAAGCGATATATTGACGAATGTACTTAAAAAAATCAAATACAAAGAAATTGATGATACAGACAAACTTAGAATTTGTTTACGACAAGAAGCTGCAAAATGGGCTGTTTTTTGATGACATCACTTGTAAAGAAGAAGCCAACAAGAAATTAAAACAACATCTCCAAGATCCTATAAAACACAAGTAAATATTGTTACATACTTTTTGCATTTCTTAATCAAATCTCTTGTATATATCGCCTATAATGCTTCAAATGCAGATGCCGATGCCGATGCTAATCTTTAATAAGAAATTTAATTTGTTATATGTTTTAGACTTTTGCCGTGGTGGAACGAATGGACATATTGTACGGGTTGATGATAACGACTAAAAACGAGCCCACTTGGAAATCGTGTTTGATAAAGGAGTGAATAAATCTGACACTAAATTTTTGAAATATTTGGCTTGCCCTGAAGATACTAATGTCATCATCCATTATTTAGAAAATAAACAATACCATTCTATAAAACGAAAATATCAATTTGATGTTAACGTTTCTTACATATTATTACGAAGCATGCAAAGAATTCAACTATACTGAAAATATATTAGATTATTTTAACGAAATAAAAACCAAAGTAATGTGACATATTTTTATAAATAATGTGTACAAAAATTAATTATATGTATTATATATACATCTGTTTTTTCTGTTTTTAGGGAGGTTGATATAATTGCAGCATTAACTATTATTATTAATAACGTATATTCCAAAATTTTAACTATGGTAAAAATTTTACATATTAAATACGTATACAAAATATGATAATAATGCAAATATTAATTATTATTTAATGTTTAAATAATTTTAATAGTGTTGAAAAATTAATACATTTAGCAAATATTAGAGAATGTTAGAGATATTTTAGACACTCACGTAGTTGAAATGAATAACGCAAAAAATTTATTTAAAAGACTTCAAATAAAAGAGGTAAATATAATAAATATTATTATGGAAAAAGAAAGAAAAAGAAATTTTGTTCTATTTTATTAATTTCTGAATAATATTTTTGTTTGTTTTAATTGTTATATAAACAGTATGTTAATTTTATTGTGGAAATCTTTGTTTATATATATTAAATTTTCATAATGCAAAATAAGATTACTATTTATTTAATGATATTATAATTAACAAAATGATTTGTTTTAGACAAGTAACAATTTGAGTGATAAGACTAATTTAAATTTCAAGTTTTATAACAAAATGGTCCAAAAGATATCAATTCGCAACAATCAAATCGACAGACAGAAACATTATTTTCAATATTTTCTCCTCTAATCGGTGGGTGTAAAAGAATATCAGCTTTGCATGGACATACTTCATGTGATAATGTTTTTATATTGTACGTAGTATTTCTTTTAATGCTTTAATTATTGTTTATTGGATGTATTACTATTCGATGCCTTTGTATTTACAAAACTTTATGCCTGCATGTATCACGTTTTTTATTTTTTTGCAAACGTCATAAAGTAGTTGAATATATTATTACCTGTGTAATTACAACAAAGAAGCCATATAATATTACTATAAATAAATATATATATATATATATATGTATAAATTATATGTATTTCAAAACTACATATCAACTTGTTTTTAATTTTTTTACGTAAATTAATATGAAATATATGTTTACGCACACACACATACACACACACATGTATATATGTGTATATATACATATATATATATATATATATATATATGTATATAATATAAACACCCTTACGTAAAGAAACTACAAGAATATGAAAAAATTATTGGTATAACAATATTACTAAGGATTGTTGAAATAATTACTAAAATTATAAAATTTTAAAAATTATTAAAATAAAATTATAAAATAAGCGATGGGTATATTACGAGATAATACACCATTATTTGTCAAAATTTTTTTTAAATAAGTAATATAAATTGTAAACAATGCATTTGATTAATTCATTTGATTAATTGAGCAAATTTTGAATGTGCTTAATTACGACAATTGTTACACACAAATGCCGCCAAACACACATACACACACGCACACACTTATTTATGTATATATATAACGACCTCAGAAGTTTTGTTGACCTACCACATCATATTCATCATGATGACAAGTACAGAGAATCAGTCAGTCTTTCGTGATCTTTCGAACCATATCGTGGTAGATATAATAATTTTAATAAAGTGTGTATGAATAATTATATTCTTGACCGTACTGTTTAAGCAATTGCTGCAGTAATTAAAAAAATATATAATTTTTATCAATATAATTTGCAATTAACATACTGTTCCGAAATATAAGGTAAGTCAAAATAAGTTAAAATATAAAAACATATTTCTCTACAAACACAAAAAAATTTAATTGTACAGCATAACGGAATTTTACAGAATTTTTAACATATTATTATAAATAGAATGGTCTTATTCAAATTATCTTTAAATTTAATCCAGAGATCATTTCAAATAATGCCGATATTATAATATTTAATGAATTGTAATGTTGAAATAAATCGTGGACCCACAAAAGTTTTATAAAGAATATATTATTTCTGCAACTTAAAAATACTATAATTTATATAACAGATAATAATTTTTATAATAAACACTTTTAATGTTTTTTCATTATTTAGATTATATAATTTTATTTTCTCCATTTTTCGTACTTATTTTTTATAAAAAAAGTATCTGTGCGCAATTTAATATTTAAAATAATTTTTATGTTGTATTGCCATTGAGTAGAATAACTTTAACAATAAAGGATAATCAAATATTAATTTAATTGAAAATTATGTATATATATATAACAAAAATAAAAATAGAACAATGCTTCCAATTTTAATTCGATATATCGTTTTATAAAAGCAATGTATATAAAAATAAAAACAAATAAATTTTAGTAAGTGTGAAATAAAATAACAATTAAAAATAAGTAGAATTATATTACTTAAAATACTCATTATACTATCTCACTCATATATAATTTAAAATAAACAAAATACTAAATATTCTACATAAAATATTTTACATAAAATGTTGTATATAAAACGCTCAAAACGTACGTTAATATTCAATTAGAAATGAATAAACAATAGTTCATAGCAATATAATAAGATACTCCATAAAAGTTGAAACTTTTTAGATATTTAAATTAAATTTAATGATTAAAATTTAATTGTTACTTTTATAATTAAAAACAATAATTTACATGTATTAATGCATATATTGATGGTGAGAATATATATATAAAAATAATATCAAATAGAAAGATTAGATAAAATAAGCATTGATAAAATTTATAGCTTTAATACTTAAACTCATTGTCAGAATTAATTAAAAATTTAATAATTATTATTAATTATACATTATACAGTAAATTGATAGTAGAACATGCTAATTGACAATCGAATGAAGAAATCTATAATATTATAAATTTGAAACAATTGTTAACACATCTATTTTAATGCGTATAATCTGAAATATCTGAGAAAACCCACTATATACAGGAATCCGAAAAAATTGTAGTAAACCTGTTAATAGTAAATTTTTGAGATCATTTGGAGTTAATGTTCCTCCGCGAAAATGTCGAAATAGACTAACATTATTTACATGATATAAATAATAATCCTTAAGGTTGCCAGTAATAATTAATAAAAAACCACTCCTCAATGTTTAAAGTCGACCAGACTGGCAATAATTTATTATAAATAATTATTTGAAATACAACAACGTTTCGGCTGTCATTGCAGCCCTTTTCAAGTACATCAAATTTAAAACAGTAAATCAACTTCTATGCAAACTACCGACAATGTTAACGCTTGTTTTGATGAACAATGCAAGACTGACAGAAGTAAGCACATATTAAATAGATGTTAACTGTTCGCAAGAATCTTAGTCACTTAGTGACTAAGTCTTTTTCTCATTTTGAATGTACACACACGTACGTATGTATGTAGAAAGAATGGCTCTTGTGTTACAAAAGTAATTTACTTCAGGCAACTAATTTTAATACTATAAATCTTATATTCCAAATAATATCTATACATTTTAAATGTTTTGCATATGGTTTTCTGACCATATAATATTCAATAATAGAATGGTTTTTACTTACAAGGGACATGTCACAACTGTCCGGAACCGATTTGATTCTCCTTGAAATATGTTGTTAAATACACAAATCTAAAAGACACGTATTTTTTTATACGTGCGCAATTTGAGTTTTAAGGGGTGAAACACCCCTTTAAAGAATAACGGTATTTTTCTTTAGGATCAAATATCTGCTAAACTATAAGAGATATAAAGAAAAAACGTACAACAAATTTTAATGGCTTGAAGAGTACTTTAAAGTTATATGAACAAAAATTTTTTTTTTTTTTTTTTTTTTTTAAAAACCCTCACCACCTAATTTTTTTTTCAAAATTAAAAATTTTGTTTTACCTAATTTAAAGCTTATTTTTTTCCAAATTCAACCATGTGTAATAAAGTTATGTTACGAAATATCATTTTCGAAAATTAATTATAAACGCTCCCGTATATACGCTCATCCGTGCTATGTGCGTAAGTAATTACCGTCGAACAATAAAATATATAAAAAATGTTTTTGTATAATTCTTATTTATGTTTTCTATGTATTTATAACTGTGTATTGTGTATATTTAGATTTTTTTAAAAATGTATTTGCATTTTATATTATTCACTCATTATACACATTACAATAATGATATTCGACAAAAAAATGTTTCAAACATAATGACTTCTTGCACCAAGAACATCTTACTACAGCTATATTATTGCAACCTTCGATATCACATTTTGTTAAAGTTTCGTCTAAACTAAAGTGTACTGGATTTTCGAATTCGTCTGGTCTTTCATTCGTATAACCACTTTTAAACCACGAATATTTAAATAAGTTTTGATATCGTGGGGATGACAATTGATTATGTATCAAAGATTGCAATTTTATTATATTATTTCGTTCATGTAAGTTTATATTACTTTCCAACAGTAAAACCGCATCTGAAAATCTTTTAGCAAAATTTTTCCAAATTCTGAATCCATAAACATCTAATGGTTGTATTTTCCCTGTAGTTCCTTTCGGTATTATCATAGTAGTAATATGTGTTCCAGGAGGTGTTAAATCCGAAATCATATTGGGGCAATGTCCAGTCCATGAATCGATAAGAAGAACGCTATTAGGACCAATGTTTGCGAAATAAGCTTCTTCTAACCACATTTTAAAATGATCTGTACAAAATATAAATGTTAATTTAATAGTTTTTTTATGACTCTTATTAAATTGTTAAATAAAATAAGGTTGTAAAAAAAGTAATTATAAAAGGAAAATACCTGATGTCATTTTACCAGATTTCGATGCTTTTACAATAACATTTTCTGCTTTAAATAAATTTTCTTGTACTCTTGGTCCAAATTTACCATTAGCTTCTTTTAATACAATAAATAAAGGGGACAACAAATTGCCATTACAGGATATTATTGGTTGTATCGTATATGAATGGGTTGTTGATGATATGGATTGCACGACACGTTCTACTTTCTTTTCTCCCTGGTTAGACAATGATCTTCCAGAGTGAAGTTCCAATTGGAAACCACTTTGATCTGAATTGTAAATATTTTCAGATCCAAACTGTTCAATAAGAGGTTTTACTGTTTCCAGAAAATCATCAGCTGATTTTTGCAAATCAGCAGAATCTTCTAATGTTCTTCTAGTGACAAACTTCGTAACTTTTCTTGAAACAATTCGGTGAGACTTCTTAAATCTTGCTATCCAACTGTGAGATGCTTTAAATATAGGATTTAAATTTCCTATTTCTTCTTGAGCTTGTAAAGCCCATCTTTTTAAATCAATATCATGAACCATGAATCCTGATTCGACAGCTGCAGTAAATTTATCATGTGTAAATTTGGAGATGTAAGATAATTTTTCTGTACGACTTCCACCTGATTGTATTTGTTCTTCCCATCGCCTTAACTGACGTTCAGATGAAACTCTTCTAAATTTATTTTGTACTACTCTTAGAGGACGATTCCTTTTTCTGTCATTACTGTTTTCATCAGTGTCCCGAAATCGCCAATACTCAACAGCTCGTCTTTTATAAGAACTATCAAAATTTGTATCATCATTTGAACAATGAGGATGAGAATTTAAACTATCTTCATGCCATGCTTCTTCGTCATCTTCAATTATTTCAAAACTATGTAATTTATAAGGTTCTTCATAATCGAGATATATTTCTTCCGTTACTTCCACCCCATTATAATGAAAAACGCTATCCAGTAATATTTTTTTAATGTTTTCCTTTAATTCCACTTCTGCTTCAGTTACTGGCGTTTCTGTTAAATATATTGAATTTATTGACACCAATAAAAGTCTAACAACGTTAAGCGGATTGATAATCATATTCAAAGATGTTATATTTTGCTTTCTATTGCAATAAAAGAACAGTTTACACAGATATTATTACAACGAAAAGACTACACCGACTGTGAGAATTATGCTGCTACATGAACAATTTATATTAACTTATCAGAAATACGTCATCACATAATCTTATTTTATTATTTATTTTAACGTATTAAAGATTTTATTGTAAAAATTATAACTTATCTGGAACACGTACACATAATCTTATCTTATGATTCATTTAACGTAAGATATAAAATTTGTTTATGCCAAATATTGCGACATTGGTATTCGCAAGATTCAATTAAAAAATAATTTTATTATAAAATATAATTGTTTTTAATTTTTATAGAAGAAATTAAATATTAAAGAAATAATAAGAAAGCAGGGGGTATATTTAAAAAATTCTTATTAATTATATTTAAAAATTTTTTTTTAAATCTAAATATACACAATACGCAGTTATAAATACATAGAAAACATAAATAAGAATTATACAAAAACATTTTTTATATATTTTATTGTTCGACGGTAATTACTTACGCACATAGCACGGATGAGCGTATATACGGGAGCGTTTATAATTAATTTTCGAAAATGATATTTCGTAACATAACTTTATTACACATGGTTGAATTTGGAAAAAAATAAGCTTTAAATTAGGTAAAACAAAATTTTTAATTTTGAAAAAAAAAATTAGGTGGTGAGGGTTTTTTTAAAAAAAAAAAAAAAAAAAAAATTTTTGTTCATATAACTTTAAAGTACTCTTCAAGCCATTAAAATTTGTTGTACGTTTTTTCTTTATATCTCTTATAGTTTAGCAGATATTTGATCCTAAAGAAAAATACCGTTATTCTTTAAAGGGGTGTTTCACCCCTTAAAACTCAAATTGCGCACGTATAAAAAAATACGTGTCTTTTAGATTTGTGTATTTAACAACATATTTCAAGGAGAATCAAATCGGTTCCGGACAGTTGTGACATGTCCCTTGTTAATAATTTTAATACATTTTGTATTTATTATTTTGTTTATATAGAAGAACATTATACATTAAAAAAAGACATTTAAGCTATATTTAATTTCTTTATTCATCTTTTGTTTACAGTGTTCTACAGATCTGAAATAAATATTCCTTTTTTTCGACATGATGATATTTCTAAAACTTTTATTAAGTAGCGGATTAATTTTTATTGCTGTGATGGCTTTCATTCGTAATGAATCTTTGTGCTATCGACCATTAAATAACATAAAACTAATGCATTACGATATCAAGCTTACATCATATATTGAAGAAAATATTTTTTATGGAGAATACAATATCAGCATAAACATTCTTGACAAAACGCAACACATATATTTACATTCAGAAAAATTATGTATTGACAATATAGTTATAATTACAAATTTAAAAAAATATAAAAATGATAAAAATATAGTTTATAAACCGACATATAATACTGAAGAAGACCCAATTGATATTTCCTTCATGAATGAGTTATCACCAGGAAATTACATTTTAAATATAGAATGTTTTGGTATTGCTGATAAAGGCTTTAGAATTTTCGACGCGATAGAAGCTGGAACTGTGTAAGTAAATAATAAATAATATATGATATTCTAAATCGGCCAATAGAGAGCCCAAGCGCGAAAAATGAATTCTTCGGAATTGTATCTCTTGGTTTGAGATTACTCAGTTCCATATATAAATTAATCTCGAACTTACATATGGAGAAAATAGGCGAGAAAAATATAGGTCCGAAAACTAACATCTACTAAAAAGGCAAATGAAAAATATAGGATCAAAAGGGTCTGAATAGCTTATTGTTAGTTGGTAAGAGCAGTCGCCCGGAAAGTGAAAGACGCAGGTTCGATTCTCGCTTCCTATATTTTTCATTTGCCTTTTTAGTTGATGTTAGTTTTTGGACCTATATTTTTCTCGCCTATTTTCTCCATATGTAAGTTCAAGATTAATTTATATATGGAATTCAGTAATCTCAAACCAAGAGATAAGTTCCGAAGAATTAATTTTTCGCGCTTGGGCTCTATTGGCCGATTTAAAATATTATATATTATTCTTAATATTGAGAGCCGATAAAAATATTTCTCATTTGATTAAATAATAAATATTTATAAAAAAGAGTACAATATGCAGTTACATAAGATGTTGTAATTATATACAATTTATGTATTAAATGTCTCAAAAATTATTGTATATGAATCTAATAAGAGAAAGTAAATCTCTCTCTCTCTCTCTCTCTCTCTCTCTCTCCCTCCCTCTCTCTCCTTTCTTTACTTTTATTATTACAATAATATATAATAAAGTCATAAAATATAATGTGTTGACGCATATAACATTTATACATTTTTAAATTCCCAATATTTTTATGCTTGTCAAAAAATGTCATTAATTTATGTTCTTCGAAATGTAGTTGGGTAGGTGCTCCGCATTTCCAGATAATAGGCGGTCGACAAGCGTTTCCATGTTGGCATTCAAATAATTTATCGTTAGAAGCAACTTTTAACATTTCTTTGGGATGTTATAACTGCACTACTTTGTCAAACATGCCATTGCAAAATACGGAAAAAGATGAGGACAATATGTTATGGACAAACTACAATACCACAACTGTAATGTTGACTCATCACGCAACAATGGTTGTGTCTAATTACCTACACCCTTTTGGTATCAAAACTGAAAACATTAAAATGTGGTGCAAAGTAGAAACTAAATATCACATGCAATTTGCAAAATATGTAGCTGAAAATATCGCGTTGTTTTTTCAAAATAAATGCATACGTTCGGACAATATTTGGAACGTGAATCATGTTGCAATTCCAAATTTCCATGACAAAGGCATAACAGTTTTCGGATTTGTTTTTTATAGGTGAGTACTACTGCTTTAATTTACATTAAAAATAAAATTATATTTGCATGCAAAATTATAAAATTTAAAAACATGTATGTCTTTTGTTTCTGTAAACGTTCAAAAATATAAGGAATTGCAAAAACAACAATTTTAGTGGAATTAAATTTATTCATATTACTTTGCAAAGTTAAAGTTTACTGTTTTAATACGTACATAAAGAGTGAAATATGTATGCTAAATCGTACCCTCTAAGGTAGGTATTAAAACTGTAATAAAGCTATAAAAGAAATGACATTTCTTTATTTATTTCAAACTATTGTTTTTTTCAACAATATTCACATTAACAGAAATTTATTGTTGTTTCATATTGTAAATTAAAAAATAAAAAATTATTATTTTGTACGATTTACTGATTTGCTGCATTGTACTTATGAGTTTGTAAATTGTATATCTAGCAATTAAATTCAATTATTTTAATAAAAATAATGTCATATTTTCTGTAAAAGTTCTCAGTCTTAACATTTAATATATCTTTCAAGGAAACAGATATCATCTATAATGAAAAATTATGTCCTATTGCTAACAAAATCGAGTAGCTCAATTAGTAGGACGTAAAGTGACACAGCAATGGTTATTGACATGATGAACGATCCGTCAGTGTCGGATTTTTGGTTTTAAAAAAGGTCTTACTACATGGCTTGCAACGTATGCTGTCGATCAGGTTATTCTAAATATTGTCAATGCTATCTTGCTCTCAACTTTTTGCAAACGATATGATACTTAAGCATTTATATTGCAAGATATTTTAAATCAAATCCTTTTTACATAATCTACATATACATATTCTTTGTGAATTGTCTTAAAAACATTTAGCAATTTATAAAATAAACAACTGTTTTTTGAAAATGATTTTTCACATATTACATACATAAAAATTATTATTTAATTTTTTACACCACTTTATTAAATATTGGATTTTGATAAAATCTAAAATAAAGTAAAATAATCAAAAACTCGTACACATATTTATTTTTAAAAAGTATTAAAAAGAAGCCTGCAATATAATATCATGAGACAATAATTTAAAAAATATGTAATATTTGCTAATTATATTAATACAAAATTTTAGATTATATTATATTTATTTTAATATACGTTCTGCAAAATGAGTGTTACATTTTAAGAATAAAATAATGTTAACAATATTTATATTTGTTCTTAATTCAAGTATTTTGAGAACGGGTTTATTGATAATTAATAATTGTTTTCGATAGACTTATCCTGATTATCAAATAATAAATTTATTTGTTGTTCAAAATCAACATTACTCTTTTAATTTGGATAGTTATTATATGGGGCCTTCTACTTCACAAGTTAACAGTCCATTAGAAATTCCCAATTCTATCAGAGGTATACAATATAATAAAATAGTTCTCGTAAATTTTCAATTATTAGTATTTTAAAGTATGTGTAAATTAAAAGATAATAATTCTTTATTTGGATTTTAATTAAATATTATTCTTGTAAAAGTACACACCCACCACACACAAACACACACGCATGCTCAAAATGTCCGGTAATAGCCGCACATATGTAAATAAAGGGAATTAATTAAATGGTCCTTCAAAGATTTGCTATAAATAAAATGATAAACGGTGCGGCGATAAAAAATATTTCACTCTTACGCGATTATTACGCTGTATACATATACAATATAATTTTCCTTTAAAAAATCGTTATGTTTACAAGTAACCATCAAAATAAATATATATTTATAATATATCTAATTCATAATTTTTATATAAATTATAGCACCCTTTATACTGCGTATGATGCAACACGTTCTCACAGATAAAATATTTCAGAAACACATAAGGAAATATGTATATAAGTAAGTAATACGATAAGAGTGAGTAATACAATATAAAATATATTATGAAAAAAATAAAATTGTACAACATAAATGTAATAATAATAGAAGTTTTATATAATGTCCTCTTATTTTTTTTGTTTTTTCTGACATTATTTTATAATGTATTTTTTTTAGTGTTACAATTCCGCTATTTTTCTAGATCTTCTACTAGAATTATTTTAAATTCATTAATTTCCTATGAAAACCGTTTGTGTAGAAAGAAATTGTTGTATAATCGTTATTTTATTTACATATATTTATTGTTGTTTTATTTTTGTTTCATGATTTGTTATTTTCCTATAAGCGTATGATATTATTTAATATTTAGGCAATATTCTAGGCATAATTTTAGAATATTTAATATTCTAAGAATACGCTTAGCACATTAAATAATATCATGCGCTTATAGGGTTTTTTTAATAATTTCGAATTATTTTTATTCATTTTACTATTTCTTTTATTTTTTTATTTCTTTATAATTCTTATAATACCTGTTTTTTTAATTGCACATTGTGCCACATTTGTTTCTAATCATATTTAACAGATTTTTATATATATAACATTATATCTCTTTCCATTACTTTTCTATTTTTATTTTCTTTTCTTGTAAATCGATCTCTTTTATGTTATTTTTCTTTGTTTTCAACTTCTTATAGTTTTTTTTTTAATCATTTTATACTTTCTGCATATTTTGCTCAAATATAATCTTTATTAATACTAATAATGTTTAAAAGAATTAATAAAATTATTAAATGTTATTTAAAATTATGTTATATTCTTTATTATCAGAATATAAATATAAAATATAAAATTAAACAATCATATATAGTAGGCCAACTAAACGAGCAAATAAATAAGATGTAAAAATTTTTTTATTAATAGTAAATCATTAAATTAACATTCCGTTACAGAATCGATATAAATTGTAAACGTTTCGACTGCACTACAGTCTTTATCAATACATAAAAATTAAATATTAAAATATAAAGTTAGATGTTAAAAATACAAAGTTAGTTAAATATTAAAATATAAAATTGAAACGATTCTTCGCTGTTGACCAATAGATATGCAGGCGATTGGTCTGAGATGCCAAGTTATGCGACATTTGAGCATGCTACGGATATAATACGCGAATTAAATCAATGTCAGAAAATATTAAAAAATCTTTCAACTTACATTATCGTTTTAACAAGTCCTTTTCCCCGATATTTCAAGTGTGTGTTGCGAAGTCTGAATACCAAATGTCAAAATAGAGAGCGTGATGTATTTATTTATTACCAATGTTTTTTCGCAAATGGTTGGGAAACAAACAATATCTCTTACATTCCCTTAAAAATTTTTCAACTTCGACATTGCCTTAATTATCGCATAATTAAAATTTAGCCAAGATTTAAAGTGTTTTAACGTTTCTAGACCAAAATAGTTATAAATAAAACTAGAATTAAAACGATGGTATTTAAACGGGTAATTAGTCACACTCACCTCAATCCTCAATAAATACTTCTCTATATAATATTGCTTCTTTCTTTCATAAAATTTTAAAAGATAGCCTTCCTAGAGCGGACAGTTTTGTAAATAACAGTTTTGATATATGCAACATTCTATCAGGGAAAACAATACAAGATACCGACATAATAGCTTCATTGGACGTTGTTTCATTATTTACTAATGTTTCCGTAGATCTTGCATTAAACGGTATCAATAATAGATGGCATTTTATAGAGTCACACACAAAGATTCCCAAAAATGAATTCATAGGTGTGATAAAATTTATATTAACTTCTACATTTTTCACTTTTAATAACATAACTTACAAACAAATTTATGGGACTCCTATGGGTTCCCCACTTTCTCCGATCATTGCCGATATAGTCATGCAGGACTTGGAAACATCAGTAATTAGTAATTTAAATTGCGAAATGACTTTCTATTTCCGTTATGTAGACGACATTATTTTATGCACTTCCGCTGACAATATTACATATGTTTTGAACGAATTCAACAATTATAACGATAGACTACAATTACATTGGAAAAGGAGGATAATCGTTGTATAAGCTTTTTAGACATAATGATCAAAGTAATAGATAACAAAATTTATTTAGATTGGTATCACAAAAAGACATTCTCAGGTAGATTACTTTCATTTTTTTCAAATCATCCGACTTGTCATAAAATAGGAACAATTTATAACTTGGTGGATAGAGCTTTATTACTATCACATCCGCAATTTACAAAAAAAAAATATAGAGAAAGCTATTAACATTTTGCTATCCAACGGTTATCCTCTTGATCTAATTTTCACAGAAATAAAACGCAGATTAAAAAATCTCTCAACTAAGAAATTTAACAAGCCTAATAATAACAATATAACAGATACTAATAATACTAATACTAACATTAAATATTTTGTCATACCATATATAGAATCAATATCTGAGAAAGTTGCTTCAGCAATAAGAAGACCTGACGTAGTGGTAGGATATCGTTGCATTAAAAAATTAAATGACTTCATAAGAGTTCAAAAGGACAAAAATAATTGCCCCACGAATTCTAACGTTATTTACAAATTGAATTGCAACGATTGTGACGCCACATATGTCGGACAGACAAAAAGACAGCTAGGAACGAGACTTAAAGAACATAAAAATAATATTAAATTAGACTCTGCTAGACATTCGGTTATCACGGAACACATTCTAAACGAACAACATACATTTGACTGGGACAATATTAAAATTATGGATCATGAAAAGAATTACCAAAAAGACTAATATCTGAAATGATCCACATTAAAGAACAGAAAAATGGAATTAATTTAAATACAGACACCGAATTGTTAGACAGTAGTTATTTTGACATACTTAAAAAATTTGCTGAATCATAATTTAGAAAAAACATTGGTAATAAATAAATACATCACGCTCTCTATTTTGACATTTGGTATTCAGACTTCGCAACACACACTTGAAATATCGGGGAAAAGGACTTGTTAAAACGATAATGTAAGTTGAAAGATTTTTTAATATTTTCTGACATTGATTTAATTCGCGTATTATATCCGTAGCATGCTCAAATGTCGCATAACTTGGCATCTCAGACCAATCGCCTTGCATATCTATTGGTCAACAGCGAAGAATCGTTTCAATTTTATATTTTAATATTTAACTAACTTTGTATTTTTAACATCTAACTTTATATTTTAATATTTAATTTTTATGTATTGATAAAGACTGTAGTGCAGTCGAAACGTTTACAATTTATATCGATTCTGTAACGGAATGTTAATTTAATGATTTAACTATAATAAAAAAATTTTTACATCTTATTTATTTGCTCGTTTAGTTGGCCTACTATAAATGATTGTTTAATTTTGTTTAATTTATACGAGCCTTTCATTAATTAATAAAATATATATAAAAATATAAATAGAAGTGCAATTTTATATTTGCTTCTTAGTATTTATTAAAATTTTTTAATATTAACACATTAACAGACAATTTTAACATATTTATAATATTTTTTTATATATTTTGCATTTTGTGTGTTTAGCCTATCACATAGTGACTTTCTGGAAGTTATGAGACATCCTATTCTAGCAACAAATAAAAATATCCTTTTACAACTAACAAAAATGGAAGATTGGGCTTTGGAGAAGCATTGTCCTCTCATTAAAGTAGAACGTAATTATTTTGATTCAATGAGCCCAACAAATGTACAGATACAATATGACGACACATTAAAAATTCGCTGCATTTCTGTAACTTTCACTACGCAAACATTTCCCAATTTTAACAATTTTACTTATTATATGGTATGCACAGAAAAGGATTTGAAATTATCATTACCATTTGAAGAAAATGGTTGGATGATTTTTAATATACAACAAACTGGTAAATATTAACCAATGTACTGCTTATTACGACTTATTTTCCGTCTATATTTTGCACACATATATTTGACATTATTTCATATTTTAATTTATTTTATTTATTGTCCTATATCAATCTGAGATATTTATTATATAACTATAACAGTTTCAAAATGTTTTATGTAATTTTCTGCATTATACATATATATAATATTATATTTAAGATATACATAAGCGTTTTCTAAATAATATTATTCATAATTAATGTTATATTTTTACAGGTATTTTATATATTCCAATAATAGTAAAATTATTAAAAAGAGATAATTATATTTGTAAAATTAATAATAATAAGTTTAGGTTATACAATTATCATATCGATACATATTACAAAAATTATATATATTGCAGAGCATAAAATTATTACTATTTATTCACAACTAGTATCAATTTTATTTAATGATATACAACAATATCTTGCACAGTTTTACTTTTTCGATTATTTCAAATATTAGGATTACATTTTTATAATTAATTTTCTATATGTATTTGCATTTTATTTATATGTATTAAATTTTTAAAACGTTTTAATTTATAATTTATATAAACAGAAATATGAAACCAAAATGTTTGAAAATGAAAACATTATAATGATAAAATTATTCAAAACAATAGAAATTGATAAAATTTATTTACTATTTGACAGGATATTATCGCGTTAACTATGATGAACAGAATTGGCAAAGAATTTCAACTTATCTAAAATCTGATAATTACACGAAGATCCATGTTCTTAATCGTGCCCAAATTATCGATGATGCATTTAATTTAATGATAACAGGCGAACTCACAGGCGTTGTATTCTGGAATGTCATACTTTATTTGCAAAAAGAGGAAGATTATATACCATGGTATCCTATGTTTAAAGCTCTGGAATACTTGTC